GGAAATACGATCATACATTGAAGAGGAGGAGTAAGGTGAGCGAGAGAGAAGAACTCGTAGAAACTTCCAAGCTTAGGGAAAGAGTGGCTAGTCTCTCCGGCTTCATCAACCACCGCATCCTTCGACGCAGGAGACGGCGGAGGCGAAGTCTCCGACTGTTTGGAATTCTTTCCACCTCCCTTAACCTGCGCATTCTTCACCGATTCCAATTTCTCCGGCGACGGACCGAAGCAAGTGGTGCAGGCGACGATGTCGAGCAGTCGTCTAATGTGCGCCACTAATGTTCCTTCATTGTAATCCTCTGCGAGAAAAATAAAAATATAGCAACGGTCACACAAATTATACAAGCGCACCAAAACTTAATGAAACGACGTCGTTTTCTTAACGACAGTTTAGATTTAACGGCGTATTGATGCAGTAGCGAATTTTACCTTCCGTTAACGTCAGAACACAAGGTTTAAGCACCGAAACATCCACTGTGTCTTTTAACCGCGACCCTCTTACCTGCAACGAGAATTTTTTTTCTGTCAGCTTGAGTTGACTTTTTTACCACGGTAAATTTTTATTCCCTTTTTTCTTGTCAACATTTCTTTTCCCTTTATAGTACTGTTTTGTTTTTCCACTTTATAGTACAGTTCATTTTAGTATTTTTGGTAACATATCTAATTACAGAAAAGGGAGAAAAAAAGTCAGACTAGCAATTCTTCAGGCAATGACACTTAACATTTTTCTGAGACAGACATAAAAGTCATTTTCCTTTACGTTTTGCTCACTTTATTTCTCGGATCCAATTCCACAATAAATATTAATATTTTTGGACCATCCAACATTAACAAGTAACCAACATTAACCAAAAAAAATTGTAAAGAAAATTCAAATGAAATAGAAATTTCACTCGAAAGTTTCACTCAAAATATTTACCTCATGGGAGAGAGAATAATTGGTGACGTGGCACGTGTCGAAGTTAACGGATAAAAGCCGCCGAACATCTATGATCCTGTCCGTTGATATTCCCTGTTTTCAGCCATACGTGTTTCTTTACGAATTCCACATTTGTAAAAATATGAAAAATATGAAAAAAAAATTACATAATTCGAAAAAATAAAGACACAAACCTTCAAAATAACCTCAGTTTCATCAGGAAGGTTTACAATGACATCCACGATAACCACCGGAAGAACTGCAAATAAACCGTAAACCATATC